CACTGCTTCTGGTCTCGTCATGACGTCAGCCTGAAGTCCTCAAAAGCAATATTGTTTTTGGTGTCAGCTTTCATCCTCCCAACCAAAAAGATGTCAATTATGCCCTCCAAAAGCAAAGTGAGGATCTTTCAGTGACATATGAAGCTGTAGTGATGAAAAACTTCAATTAATTCAATGCATGTTGGGGGACAATCTCTACTAAGAACAACCAGAAAATTCTTGACTTGTCTTACAGACAACTTTCTCCTTCAAAGGATGGAGTAAGACACATAAATATCATGACTTAATTATTATGAATAGAGAAAACTTAGTTGAAGACATGGAAATAGCAAGAATGTTATAAGCAATGATGATGTAATACTGGAAATTACAACTGGGTATAACATTTTCTTGGACTTCACAACAACATTAATAAAGAGCAATTGCAAGTATCACTCCATTGCAGGAAAAGGTTAATGGAATATCAAAACATTGAGGAAGTAGAAGTGAGGCCCTGATACACAAAAAGAATACAGACAGGTATCCTAAAACTCTTAGTGAAAGTTTGTTTAAGATTAACAAAGGAGGCTAATGATATCACAAAGAGCTTATTTGGACATAGTGATATTAAAAGAAAAAAAAAGAATCAGTATACAAGCCATTCAGTGAAGAAAGAAAAATGTTAAGTTAACAAAGAAAACACATTTAACTTCTATTTGTGGATTTCTGTACATGATTTTTAATTTTGTAAGATACCTGGAGTTACCCTGTATGAGTTGGGTGCCATATAAATGTTTAATAAGCAAACAAATATTGACTCATACTTTTTTCAATATAAATTATGTCTTTAGCAGGAAATTGTGAAGGAGTAAGACTGAAACTTGACACTGATCAAGGGATTCAATGGTCATGAATGAGTGTAGAACTCCAGGACAAGATTAAATGCAGCAAATTATAAAGAGATAAATTTTGAGAACTAGTTAGTTAGTTAGCACTGATTTGTCAAGAACAAATTTCCCCTCATTCTTTTGATCAGGTAGTCTCCTTTTAACAGATTGTGGGAATGCTATATGAATAATATACCTTTATTTTGAAAAAAATTATGATGTAACGTAGGTCATGTTAATTTGCAGGCTAGTTAAGTGTGGGATGAATGGCATTATAGTAGATACATTTTATACTCAGAGAATGACTCATCAGACACTAGTTTGGCATTAAGTTGGGAGGGTAGTGTCAAATTAGATACTATAAATGCTCAGCCTTAGATTTTTCAATTTTCAAATTTTTCATTCATGATTTGCAGAAGTTTTATGCATTTATTAAATTTATACTGTACATTATGTTCTAAATCCTTAAGTTGAGGATCTTCAAATTGTGTGGGAAGACCAATGTCTTAAAAGATAGAAATACAAATCCAAAATATTGTTAGGTTGGAGAAATAGGCTAAAAATAACAGAATGACAGTAAGTGTGCTGACTGCTATTGAATCTTCTTGTAAGTCCTGGATTTTGGGGACAGCAGGCTGTGCCTGTGTTGTCTCATCTTGAATATAATGAGCACTAAGGCCTGGCTGATTCTCTTTAAGAAGCTTCTGTTGTTCTCTCTCTCCTACTTTAGTCTTTCCTGGTATTTGCAAAGAAACTCGTCATTAATTAAGGATATTATCACTAATTAATTCAATGATTGTCCCTTTTCTATTTATTTTCGCAGAGAAAAGATGTGAGGCAATCTTTAGGTATACTGAAATATTCATGATTGCTGGTAGAATGCAATGTGGGATAAACTATGTCTGTTTCTCCCTCATGTACTCTCTCCACTAGGAGACAGGACAAAAAAAGGATGCACAAGTTGTATTTTTGTTCCATTAAGATTAATTAACTGAAAGGATGCTTGCAGGAATTTGCTTTAAATTCACCTTAAGGGGAACTTTCCTTCCTGCCACTGGTGTACAGAATAGGAGAAGGGAAGAATACCAATTAATGACAAGTGCTTCTTTCTGCTACTCCTCTATCTGGCTTTTACTCTCACATGAGGCATAAGAAACAATTAAAACAAACAAATTAAAGATAAGGAAGAATGAACTTGAATTTGTTTTAAAAGTAAAAAGAATGGATTAAATATAAGTCATAATGTATTAATTTATAAATTTTGTTCTGGTTTCATTTACTTTTTGAAATATACCAACATAGAACTGAAATACTAATATGATCTTTGGCCCAAGAACATTTTGCACTGCTGCTTTAAAGTATCAGAAATAGATTGTTCATTTTATTTCAAAATTAGTTCCACTGATACTTTAGTCCCAGTAATACTTTCAAATAAATAAGAACTGATTTTTAAAATGATTTTACATAACAAAGGAATTTCAAGTTGAGTAGAGTTGCAGGTTGAGATCAAAGATTAATTGCACAACTGACTTTTCATTTCTACCCTTATATATTACAAAATGTATCTGAAACAAAAAAGAAAACCAGGTTGACACTTCTAAACTGTCCCAAAAATCAAAGTTATTTTTTAAAAAGAGAAAACACCAGAAGGGAACATCTGATTGTAGCTGGACTCAAATATATGTTTAAGACTGAGGGCATCCAAGGAGTGACTGGGTTTCTTTTGGGCAAAACATTGTATACAAATTTCAGCTCCTTAACTAAATGAGAACATGGTTGTGGGTGAACCAATTTGAATAGGTTCTATTCCTATATATATATATATATATGAATGAAATTAAAAATCTGCAACAATTCATTCCTTCACAGAACAGTCCTTAGACAAGGTACTGTCTACATTATGAAATGAATAAAGGAAAATTGTGCATTTATATAATTTTAGACTGCCACAATCATGTGTTTACAATTAATAAAACATTCATTGTATAACAATCAAAAATATTCATAATTGTCTTAAAATTGGAGTACAGTAAAGCATAAGCTATTCAAATATATGTAACCTCTGCACAGTATCTTTACAACAAAATTCTACACATTGATATAAATTTTAAGACTGACAAAACTTAGTTGTCTCCCATATTAGAGTCTGGAAAGAAATGCCACTTATGCAGGTATATTATGCAATCTTAATTATGTAGAGAACATAGGTAGGAAGCAATAAGAACTCTTCTACCACACCTGTTTAATGGAAAAGAAGGGAGAAGTGGAAGGAAAGCAAGTATGTCCTAATAGATGTAAACTAGCACAGTATGCAATCAACAAGCTGTTGCACTTTAAGTAGGAACAATCCCACTAGGAAAACCATTTTCAATTACAATTAAGTTTTCAGAGCAAAATTTAAAACACCCAGAAGTCAGAAAACTTAACTGTACAAAATTTAACCCACCAACTCAGCATTCGTTCAGATATACACTCAACACAATCCTGACAAGCATACGAAGCTGACAAATTCCAAGGTGGAAACACAGAAAGAAAACAAGCATTTACAACGAGGCCAAAAAAATCCTTAGAAATAAACTCAATTGAGGGAGAAAAGAGGAACACATGAATTTATGGGGAAAAGCTATATTTCCCTTGAGTTGGAGGACAATTTGTGTGAAATACAAAGTACAGTAATAAAATTTGAGAGGGTGGTGGTGGTGGTGTAGGTAGACAATTCCTTCTCCAGTCTGCTAGGCTTCCACTTATTGTCCGTCCTAGAAGACGGAGTAAGACAGTTGTCCCTCTTTTGCACCCTCACCTAGCTCGATAACCGAGTGAATCCGGGGCGGAGATTTAGAGATGGGGGGAAGGGGTTCTCCGAAATTTATTTTTTCAACGACCACCACAACTTGTAGCTTTGAACGAAAGCGCTTAAGATTGCGCAGAGTACCTTTCTTTTCCCCCACTAAAAAACCTCCCCTCCACCCTTTCCGCGGATGGTCCCGTTTAAATAGTAACAATTAAGTTCTGAGGTGGAACAGCCCTTTCTTCTTCTAGGCTCCTTCCTCGCCCGCCTTGCACCCGCAGCCACCTCCAAACTTACAGGCGTCGGTTTTCCCACGGCTTGGGAGGAGGCGGTTGATTGGCCGCCATCACCGCGCAGGAGACCCTCGGTCGTGCGCTGCTGCTCCTGCTGCTTTGCAGAGAGCCGAGCTATGGAACTTACGCCAGAACCGCGCCGCCTTCTTCAGCTCGCGCGACAAGAGCGTCGATTGATTATTTCTGGCTGCGATGCGTGCTTCCTATTTATCCACGTCAAAGAGAAGCGTGAAAAGGAGACCTAGCAGCACTTCCGCAAAATCTATCTCTATGTTTTCATTGCACCTTTGCCTTAAGTTTTCTAATTTATTTGAAAACAACATTAAGGCAACACTTGACAATTAACCAGTGGAACAGCTTGCCTTCAGAAACCGTGGGCGCTTCATCACTAGAGGTTTTTAAGAAGAGACTGGACAGCCACTTGTCTGGAATGGTATAGAGTCTCCTGCCAGAGCAGGGGGCTGGACTAGAAGACCTCCAAGGTCCCTTCCAGCTCTATTCTATTCCGTTGATTCATGCAATTATCAATTAAGGCTATCTTTAAATTCTATTTACAAGGCCGTCCGATATACGTCTTTCTTAGGGCTGATAAAGCCCCGTTAAATTTTACTTATTTAACCCTCCACTCGGTCACTTTGTATCTTTTAATTCTGAAACAGCATTGGGAATATTTTTGCAACGTTTAAATAGAGCGGCTAGCATTAGCACTTGCTTCTCCGTTTGGACTATTTTCTTCCTACACCATTAAAAAAAAACCCACATTTTTCTTTGCTTGAAAAAGTTTTTTTACATTGTGCATAATTACTTTGATCATTAAGTCTTTAATTAAAAAAACAGCTGTATTCCAGAGGGAAAAATTAAAGTGTTCTCTTTCAACAACTCAAATCTCCTTTCGTTGGTTCGTTCGTTCTTTGTTCTTTCCTCTAAGCCACCTTTTTTCTTTAATCTCGGTATGCTATCACCGTCCTTCATCAAAACGTTGGAAATCCAAAGAAACAGTAAAGATCTTGCATCCTCGCACAGTTGTGCTCCGGAACAATTATTTCCGAGAAAGCGTTTCCTTCCCATCCGGAAGCGAGGAGCAGCCATTGATTAGGGACGTGGGGCGTGGCAGGTAAATAGTTCCCCCTATTCCTCCTATTGGCATGGGCGAAAAGGTAGGCGATCGTTGTCCGTTATGTTCATTTTTTTTTAAAGCCAGCGTAGAAAGGTTAGGTAGACTACTGATTCTTTGATTTCTTGTAGCAAGATAGAGCCAACATCACTTTGTCAATGCTTATTCGGAAGTAAGTCACCGTTTCTGTGGGATTTGTGTGCTCGCTAGAGAGTTGAAGTCCACGAGTCTTAAAGGTGTCAAGTTTGAAGACCCCTGGAATAAAAGATAAATGCATTTGTCCTTTAACATTTATCTTAAGATAAAGCATAGAATAATTCTTAAGCTAAAGTCCTTATCACTCTTAAGTTAGTTTAGTATTTTCTCTTGAGAGAAAAAATGTTTAGAACTGACTGGTATCCAATACCCAGAATTTTGCTTCTAGCACAAAATCGATGGCTGGCTTAAAAATAGATTGTTGACTAGATAAGAGCTGGAGTTGCACATGTATAATTGGAAGATGCAACTGTGCATCTTCCAATTATAACTTGTTATTACCCCCTAAAACTATATGAAATGTAAAAAGCATGAAAACTAAACAAAGTGAAAGATGAAATGAATTGACTACACACTGACACCTAAGACATCAGCAAATTGAAATGAGAGAAGAGAAACCAAAACCAAGATTCAAATTTTCACTTGAGGCACAAATGACTGAGCTCAAATTACCAGGTGTTGGCCCGGAAACCAGCAGACTAAATTGTAGGCTTCTCTTAGGCATAAAAGCTTGCTGGGTGACTTTGGCCAGTGATTCTTAGCCCAATGCATTTCACAGTTCGTTGCAGAGAAAATAGGAATATTTAATTTAGATTAATTAGCTGCCTTGAATTATATATAAAAAGTAGGATAAAATGTAATAATAGCAATATTATAAATATTTGCATACTTTATGCAAAAGATGTCTCTCTCTGTAGAAATTTATAATGTTGGGAAAGGAAGGAAATAGAACAGGACAATCAGCAGCAGGGTGGTTTAATCAGATTACAGTTTTGGTGAATATACCATTAGAAGACCTGAAGGGCTGCTTTGAGGGCAGATCATCCTGGAAAAGGTCTTTTTAGTGGTTGTTATGAGTAACTAATACAATCGTTAGTTCCCTATCTTCTCTTTTAATTTGTCCTTTCTAAATGTTATCATGAATTTTTCTTAGGAACAAAAGAACTTTCCATTTATTATCAGACTATATTTAGCTTAATTTGTCAATTGTGTTTAATATAGTGTGTGCTGACAGTGGAGGGAAGGAGGAACTGCATGTAGCACATGCACACTATTATGGTCCTTCCTTGGTCCTCTTTCCATTGCGGTTATTATAGTGATTCTATAAATAACTTTTCCCCCAATACAGGCTTCATCAACATGGTTGTACTGACAGAGAAAGACAGACCTGTTGCTCAGATGTTACTGAATTCTGGAACATGTCCCCGCTGTATTTTCAGGTTCTGTGGTGTAGGATTGCAGACTTCCTACCGGCAACCTCATAAGGTTTGATTAAATTAGAATATATGTTGATAATTATTTTCATGAAGTGTTCAGTCTTAGTCACAATCTTTTCATAGCATCTTTCCTGAGAGTTGAAAGGAGATTTGGAATGAACAGGATCCAAAAGGTTTTCACAGTGAAGGAAGACATGCAAGCAGTACTATTTATTATATTGTGCTGGGGATTCTGAATGGGGGAAGGAGATGAGAATTAATGCTAAAAATATCTATCTCAGAGTCCAGGCAAAGGAAATGACCAAGCACAACATCATGAAACCAATAGATTAATAAACTGAAAGTGATTAAAAGTCAGTTGTGTCCCATTTATGACTGACTCTTAGAGTCCAGGTCTGTGTAGGAATTTAGCTATTAAGCTATTTAGTCTCCTCTGATGGTTCCATTTGTAAATTTGCTTTTCTCTTCTAAATATCAGTGGTCTTTTCTATCATCTGCAGGCCTCAGACCTATTTTCCAGTCCTCTGCCCTTGATAACTTTTGTTGTTGTTGTTTTCAGGCAGCGATTAAAAATGATGCCATTGTTAGCTGCTTCTTTTAACAGTTTCAGTCTTATTCTGTTCAGCATTTCAGACATTTCATTGAGCAAATGTGAAGGAACAGCTGGAATATGTAGCTGCTTTATGCTGATTTAGATCTTTGGTCTCCAAGCATAATACCATTTTCTTTGATTGTCAACTTTTTATCTCAGACCTAGTTTTTTCCTCAAAATACTTTTGGAGAATTACCTACGAATAGATCCTGTAAGAATCTGCATGGCTGGACTGAGCTCTGGCTTTCTTGAGGTCTTTCAGCCTATTTTCTTCTCTCCTCTCTTTTATTGTCACCTGCCCAAAAGTCTAAGCCCATTTTGATATTCTTTAATGGAGAATAGAGCATTCATTCTTCTCTGTGTTGGTGTTATGATCCCAAGCCTAATCTTATGCAGGTTTACTCAAAAAGGTTTACTCACTGGCTTTAAATTTACAAGATCACCAATTGCCTGACATTAGTTTTGTTAAAAACTCTTGTGCAAATAAACAGAACTTGAAGTTCTCAGTCTGAGATATCTCTTTTATGATAACTTGGTGCTGTTTTCCCATGTTGAATGAAAAACCATATTGATAGATTTCTATTTTTGTTTTGTTTTTTGATCAATCAGGATTTATTTCATGAACTATGCAAGTTTCTGGAGAGCAAAGAAGATGAAAATATATTATCTTGTGAAATGGCTAATCCCCCATGTAAAAAGATCAAACTGGAAAATGCTAATGGGATTAAAGATCAAAACCCAAATGGAAGCCATGAGCTAAACAATATGGGCAATGATGGAAGTAATGCTCCACCAATTGAAAACTTGCTGGAACCTGTTGTGTGCAATATATGTTTGGGGATTCTACAAGATCTTTGTGAAATAGACTTTGTCAAAGCTGTAAGTGTCAGCCTTGTGGAGATTTTCAGCTTTTCAAAGGATAAAACCAAATGTGACATACAATATTGTAAACATAGATGGTATTTATATAGGATTTCACTGAACATTTTGTTGCTCATATCTATCTGAGAATAAATATCATTGCTCCTAAACAAGCGCATAAAAAATTAGACAATAATTAGTTCTACTGCAGTTACAGTACCTTAGCTTAATTCTAAGCAAGCAACCCATTGAGGAAAATTTAGAACTCAATTGTAGCCTTTGATTTTTCTTGGTCTAAGTTATCTTGGTCTAAGTTATACTTCCTCCTTCCTGACTTAGGACCTACTTGTGTTCTCTGAGCTGGTAAGCACCAGGAAGCACAGGCTTCGTTGGGTAAAGTATTCTTCCAGAATGGCAATTTTGTAGATTCTGATTGATGTGGCTCCTAGTTTACAGGCTCAGATTCAGTGTCTGGGTCACCATTTAATAGCTCCTAAAATATTCCTCAACCAGCTGGTTTTTCTCACTCTTTTTGGTTGCTCAAGCATCTTTTGGGATAGAGAAGAATACCAAAAGAATGCAACATCAACTGTTGTGGAAATGAAACTTCTTGAATTGACAAAGATCAGTATAATTAAATATGTTCCTTTTCTCTGTAAAGGAAGCAATGCTTTCTGCTGCACCTCCAGCTTCAGAACTGCTAAACAAACATGCATTCTCTAAGGTGCCTGTGCATCTAAGTTTATGATTTTTCCCCATTGTTTTTTTTTATCTTGCATTAAACAATATTTTGCAAGTACAATATTTATAGTTCTCCTGCCAGGTTTGGTTAATCTGTTCAACTTCTGAATTGGTGGTGGTGAGACATTTTTGGAGTGATGTAAGTTTTTGCCCCAATACTAAAGCCAAACTGGGGAGAAGAAATTAACCATTAGGTACTGAAAGAATCTGAAGAAATCTACACATTTATTCTAAAGTAAAAATACTATCTCTCCAAAGAATTATTTTGTAAATAATATTTCTCAAACAGTTTTCTGGATTGACCTGTATGAAGTAATTTGTTCTGGGGGTATGGGTTGAAATATGGTAAGTAAATATTTTAAATAAATCTATATTTTTCAGGTATGCCATAAGATTAATTCTTCTGAATATCAGTTTTCCAGTTTTGTGTTTTCAGTGTCATTCCCACCACAACTTTCAGTCAGAGAGGTGGGTATTTTGCTGATACTTTTATTTATGCTTCAAATTGGCCTTCAATGAGAAAGAAAGGATGTTCTTACACATTACCTTGCTTTGCATTCTATAAATTACTTTGTTAGGCAGATATTGAACAACATGGGATTGGTAGTAGTTAGCCAAGATGATGGATCAATGGTGGAACAAAGTGGAAAATTGCTGCTCACTGTTTTGGTTATGTTGATTTGAAGTTTAGCATTTCACTTGGAGATGGTAGAAATACTTTGGCCAAAGGTCACCCTGTGTATCAGACAGGCCTTGATTTTTATGAAAAGTAGAGAAAACTTGGTCAGCCAGTTACTGAGGAAAAAAAACTATCAATGCTCTTTCTTTCTCATGCTCCACCTCTTTTGTTTCCCTCCTTTTTCTTATGTATATATCTAAAGCATGCAGCATGGCTGTTAGTGAAAGAAGAAATGGGGTGAGTATATTCTCCAGACAATCTAAGGACCAAAATGATTTAATTATGATTGAAACAGCAGTGACCTTGGTTAAGTCATCAATCAGCTGATTGCTGGGCACATGATTATGAATAGTAGCATACTTAAGTGGCCAAAGCTATGACTGATTCTGGATATTCCATCATAGGTCAGTGTGTTTCTACTGTCACTTTGGCAAGTATGGCAGATGTTGCCAGTCCTGTACTGTATTCTACTTATTTTTAGATCTTTGGAATACAATAGATTGTTAATAGTCAAGTCATTTTAGTTTAGTGGATAAGCACCAGGCTACATAGCAGGACACTGTGAGTTCTAGTCCATCTTAGCCATGAAAGCCAGTTGAGTGACTTTGGGATAGTCATTCTGTCTCGGCCCAACTCATCTTCCAGGATTGTTGTGGGAAATATAGGAGGAAGGTGTGTTGAATATGTTCACTGCCTTGTGCTATTTTTAAAAATAATAAAGGTGGGATATAAACAAAGAAACAAACAGATTACAGAAGAACTTGTTGAGATAGTAAAAATATGGGTCAGTTTATTTTTTATCCCAGTTGTGTGTACTTTAAAAAACTCTTTCTTACAATTTAGGAAACAGGGCCTATCAATTGGAAAAGATGACTTTGTTCAGCTGAAAGAAGCTTACAAATGGCTTATCCATCCCCTGTTCTTGGAGGAGTTGGGAGTTCCTGCTGATGGAAAGGTAGTATATACATAAACCATTTACTCTGTTTTTGCAATGCTAGCTCACCACTAGCCAATGCGATCTGTGTTTTGGCTGTGCTAGTTTCAGACTGTAGATGGGCCTTCATGTAATTGAATGCCTTCTCTAAATATAAGTGGCATGTTAAGGGCAAAAAGAGGACAGAATCCTTTCTCCTGGTGAGACAATATTCCTGGTGCAGAGTAAATTTTGTTCATTGGTATTTTTAATTTTATTAGCCTTCGCCTGCCTTTTTTAAAAAAAGAAATCATTGGTTTCACTTATGGAAGAAAGATGTATAGAGAAAAAAATACAAAAAAAATCAACCATGAGGAAAACATGAAAATAACTTTTTATATTATACATAAGACATTTCAATTCGGTTTTTAAATGCAGTATTATGCCACCATCACAAAGAATTATTTTGGTCAGTACAGATCTAATTTATAAGCAAAGAGCAAAGGCATGCAATCATTTCAAGATTTTAAAGCCAGACTGGCACTGGCACTAAAAAATTTTTTTCCTCTGTATGCTCCAGTAAATAAGACTTTGTATGTTGATAAATTTCTAGTCTGGGAATATAATTCAAAGCTGCAGTCACATCTTTAAACAATGCTACCCTTCCTTAACAAATGTACAAATGTAAAACCAAAATGGAACAATTGTAGGACAAGCTCATATTATATATACATTGCTTCCATAATTTTGCACTTCTAAGATTATGAAGCTGAAAATCTCCACTTTGTGTTGATTGAGTTTTATTTTTTCATTAATATATTGAATATTTTTAATATCTTTAACCATTGATTTGTTAGTTTAAAATATTTCACGCCTTGGTTCCAAAGTTGAGGCAAATAATTAATATTCACTTCAGCAATATTTAGGTGTTTGTAAAAGAAATTTGTTTTGAAGTTTACAATTTAATATAACTAGATGACCTCGTTAGAGATAACTCTTTCCAAAGTATCTTTTGTCCCATTATGTAACAAACAGGAAAAGAGTCATAAAATTTGTGCTAATGTTACATTCATTTTGGGTACCAGATCAAAATTTCATTTCTCTCTGCATTATAAATTGTTCAGCCTGGCCTTCCATACTTATATTACTTTTTCATAAAGAACAATTAACCCAAATAAAGAATAAATGTAGTATTAACCCACAGTATAGTTGCTTCTCTTTTTATAATAGTAAGGAGGGAGCAGTGGAGATGAAAATTAAAGAATTGAAAGACTTAAGTGGGGCAGTTAATCCCAAACATGATTTTTTCATAGAGAGTAAGATAATTTAGGTTTGTCAGAATCAGGAACCATGATTAAAACTTTGAACCAATTCAAATTTTTTAAGCCAACTGTAAACCATGGCTTCATATTCTGGCTGGTATTTCATGGTTTATTGTTATATGTAAAATTATTCTGATGTTTTTTGTTAAAAAGGAATGAAGTTGAAGCATCCACAAGCACTGAAGATACTCAGTGCTTATTGTAGGAAATTCTGATGCTTCCGAGAAACATGCCTATTTCTTAATGCCAATATGAATAATACAGCTGATCTGCCCTTTAACATCTGTAGTTGTATACATGTCTTTAACATGTGCAGTTGTATGTCTGAGGGCCTTGTGTGGATTACTGCCTCTTGCATATGCTTTAAGCCTTAGGACTTGAACCTGTTACTCATAGTTCCTGTTTAATATTAGTCACATCAAGTCTCTTCCTGATGATAGGCTTCAGGTTATCGGACAGACTGAATTCAAGCTATTGAAAAAGTGATGTGGAGGAAATCAGTAGCAATTAAAAATTAACTTCTATCTTTGTGATTCAGAGCCTGTTTGAAGTGGGTGTTGTATTTGCTCATCCAGAGACAGATGAAGATTGCTGTTTCCTGTAAGTATAATGTAACAAGCAACGTTTTATGAGAGCAGAGACACATGGTATTGGCTGAACATTCTAGATCTCCCTCCAATATTTGAGATATCTTGAGCAAGTTACTCTTTGAAATAGCTAATAGACAAACTGTTTTGTCTGATAGTGCTTCTGCTAAGGGCTAGGTGCCCTGTATAATGTCATCATGCTTGGGTTGCATTCCTTACAACAGAGTAAGTGGCACTCAGATATCACTTATTCTGTTTCCAATAACATGCTCCTTCTAGCCCATGATTCTGGTACCAGGAGAACCGTTAAAGTGGAATGGATAAGAATGTAACTCAACTTATTCATGCTTCTACCCTGCACCTGCTAAATGCCTTCCACTTAAAAAAAGAGAAGACCCACAAGATCTGAGGCGTGAAGATCATTTTTTTTTTAGTCAAGAATGAAATGCAAGAGCCTGAACTGGATTTAAGCAGTTCCCGTTGAGTTGATTGTCTCAAGCTTGTATTTTGCTTGAATATAGCCGTATGATCTCCCAGTCAATAGAAGAGATCAGAATCTTCTGCTCTTCAGCTTTTTTAATCCCTGGGCAAATGTCAGCAGGAGCTCAATAACACAAAGTTCCTCAGATTGGCCTTAACTTTGCTCTGATGTTCTGCCAGAGAAGCAGAGCCTTCCAGTTCCATGGCCAAAGGAAGGCAGTCTAAGGACCAAGAGTTGCCTGACAAGGTAGAGATGGGAAAGTTATTTTCAAAAGTATCTATCTTCTTGGAGATTGTTCTTAATAAAATGTCTTGACACCAGCAAATGTAAAACATTATACTATTGTGTTCGTTATCTATTTGGTTGAAAATGTAATCACCGTTTTAAAGAAATTTGACTGATTTTTATTGTTTTCATTCAGAGCTTCAGTGTGTCCAAGCTGCTTCAAGCCAGCAAAAAATAAACAGGTAATTAACTTTAATTTTATACAACTAGCAAGACCTGGTCTCCAAAATCTGTATCTCAGGATAAGCACTCTGATGCTTTCTAAATATTTTGACTTTACTGGCTGAAGTTACATGAGTTCCCAATCAAGAACATCCGGAGAATAGCAGAGTACTTACCATGGTTTCAATTTTTTAAATATATATCTCTTTTAAAACAGGCAATTGTTGGTTACAGATTCCTTAGTTGCCATAATATGCTTGTTCTTGTCTTTTATCATTATTTGGGGTATATAGTTTTTATTTTACTTTTTGGCTGCCCAGAATTTTAAAGATGGCCAGCCATATGAGATAAATCAATAAAAATATGTATGAATCATATTAACACTAATATAAAATATGAGAGGCAGTTTGGTGTAGTGGTTAAGACATCAGGCTGGAAACTGGGAGACTGGTGAGTTCTAGTCCCACCTTGGGCATGAAGCCAGCTGGTGACCTTGGGCCAGTCACTTTCTCTTAGTCCTAGGGAAGAGACAATGGCAAATCTTTTCTGAAAAACCTTGCCAAAAAACCTGCAGGGACTTATTTTGGCAATGTCTGAAAATCAGGCACAATTGAATAGAAGGAAATAAAAAAGAATACAGTATAGGGAGTCACATACTTCCCAAGTAAAGTTGGCACCCAAAGCAATCTGAAGTTAGAATTTGTAAAAGCTATGTCTCTATTTAAATGTAAAACTTTCCTTCAATAATAAAGCACCAAGCTTAGAACAAAATTAAGGAAGCAACAAACAAAAAGGGCATTACTAGATAAGCCATTGTTTTTCAATGCTTCCTACTTGGCTAAAATAAATCAACTAGAAAGAATAATGTTTGCAGTGTCTGATAACTCGGGTAATAGTTTACTTTTCTCTTTAGTCAGTCTTCACCAGAATGGCTGTGGTAAAAGCTTTGGATATGATTGATGAAGAAGAGTTTCACAAGTGAGTAACTCCTGAGTTTATGTTGGGGGGGGGGGGGGGATGTCAATCAACACAAAGATAGTCAAGTGGCATGTACTTTTGCCAGCAGCCAGCATGAGTTTTTTAATAATAGGACAAAGCTAACTTTGTATTTTTTATGACAGTGATTTGTGTGATACAGCAGTGGAAAATTATTGATGTAGTGTGCTTTGCAAACAGAATAACCAAAAATGTGCTTATTAATGCAGATTGGTAGATTTGCAACTAATTGGATAGTTGCATCTAAAGCATATTCATATGTATTTCTTCATCAGTCTAAAAAAAATCAAGTAGGCTTCCCAGGGCTTTTTCCTTGGTCCAGCACTATTCAATAACTTTATAAAAATGTAAAAGATGAAATAGAAGGAATTATTATTAGATTTGCAGATGATCCCAAGTTGTAAAATTGTGGATACAAAATTATCATAGGGTCATGAACAACTAAAAAGACTTGGTAGCAGTGTTGTAAACTTTTTTATAGTATTATTTCAATATTCAGCCAACAGAAAATTTAAAAAAAACACAGACGCTATGCGATTAACATCTCTAGCTTAAAAAGAATAGGCCTAAAAATAGTGAAGACCATGTTGATGTGGGGTAAGTGCGAGCTGTGCTATTTAAAAAAATGGCTACGAAAACTGTTAATTTGGTCATAATAGCAGTTTAGGCATGTGTCAGGCATGGATTGCTCAAGCTCACATTTAATATCCAGTGGATTTTGCATGCTCTATGTAGAACTTGGCAGTGTTATGCATTTGAGGGGGTTGAATTGATAGGGCAATGTAAACTTGGTCTCTGTGGCTGTGTAGACTGGTAAGTAATGGGAGAGTAAAGGAACTGCAGATATCTTTGTAACAATGATTAGGAGAGAAGGGTGTGCTTGGTGATGTTGATTACCTTATCACTGAAAGGCTACAGAAATTCCAGGAAGGAGATCTACTTCCTTCCTTCTAAGAAAGATGAAGGAAACATTGCAATCAGCAATGAAGAATGAAGAACCCGCTGTGTGTAATGATATGCATCCATTATATGTGGCTGAAGAAGCTTACTGGCCTGTTCATGTTCCTTTGATTATGGTAGATGAGATCAGATTTTGAGTAGTGTATTATCAAGGTTATCAAGATTTTTCACCTGCTTCTATTTCTTAGATATAATATTGCACTATTTAAAATTATTTACATTGTAAAAATGTTTTTGAAATATTTGAAAGAAAGTTTTTTTGGATACTCATATCTATTTATTTTGCACAATGTTTAACTTTTCCTTCAATTTTTCTCTAGTGAATTGCCCTTTATATCTCCCCTAATACAGGAACTATACATCTCCTCCAAGTTCACCTAAAACTTCTTGCGCAGCTGTTGACATTCAATGCAACAATGGTGCCATTTTTGTGGCTGGTAAGAATAAATGTTTTTCCTTTAATAGAGGTTGATAAGGATCACTCCTTTTTAAGATTACTGGGCAAGTGTGCCCTTTGGTTAATAAGAAAAGGATACTCAGTTGTTATTGGAACAGAAATCCATATAATTATATGAACGGTTTTGTATTGGGAAGTATGATTGTTGTTGTTAGTTGCAAAGTGTGTCCAACCCATCGCAACCCCATGGACAACGTTGCTCCAGGCCTTCCTGTCCTCTATCATCTTCTGGAGTACATTTAAGGGGAAGTATGATGGTACAGCACAAATCAGCCATTGAGCAAGTGTTAAAAAGTTATGCATTTTTTCAGTGATCTTCATCTGTATTGAAGGAGATTGATATGTAGAATATATAAATTTGTCTTCAAATAGAGTTTGTTTTTCAAATCAGAGTCTATTTCTGATTAAAATGGGCTATTATGAAGTGGAATTTATATTTGGCAGTTTTTCTTAGTCCAAGACTATACTCATTTGACAATGTTCTGTGTTGAAGTCATTGGAAAAGCATTTTGGAAAATATTCTGGGATCAGAACGGTTCGATGAAATACAAATATTTATCCAGTTGCTTTTCATCAAAGTAGGCAGGAACAACCTTAACATGTAATGTGTTGTATATCACAATATATCAACTAGCTGAAAGATATGTTTTCAAAGTAAACTTATGTTATGTCCTTTGCTGCTCAAGGAGCAATTCTTGTGGGATCTTCTAATACATGCTTTATGATAGTGACTTCCTTCTCTGTGCACTTAGCTTTTATTTGTAATACTGTTGCTGAACTAAGAGTTAATAAATATCATAGCACATTTTTTATGTTCTGTTTCTCTTTGAAACAGGAAGATATAATAAATATTCAAGAACTCTACCTCAGACTCCATGGATTATAGATGGAGAAAGGAAGATGGAATCATCTGTAGAAGAATTGATCTTGGAGCATCTCATGGCTGCCTTTAAAGCAGATAGTGAGTGTGTGCATGCATATGTTTACATTACTTTAAATAATTTGTGTATACACTGATGAAAAAATGCAGGAAAATTGGGCAGGCAAGTAACCCAACATCTATTTAATATAGATCTAAACTTTGATTTGCCTTGATCACTTGGCTTGCGTATGGATTTCCAGATTCACTCAAAGTTTCTTCTATTTTTAAGATTTTAACTTTTCATCCTCTGGAAGGGAAGATGTGGATGTGAGAACATTAGGCAATGGTAAGTTCAACACTTGAAAATACTCTACATGGGGAAAAAAATCAATTGACGATCCCTTGACAAAAAAGGAGAGGCATTTTTGATATCGTGGGAGTTAGAAGGGGCTACTTAGGCCATAGAGCCCATCCCACTGTTCAGTGTAGAAATCCAGATAGCATATCTAAAGAAATTTCCTTATGAGAAAATTTACGAGTTAAGTACATTTATGCATAAAATATTTTTATTCAAACAGTATTTAAAGCTAAAGGTGATATAATTGAACAACAACAAAAACTGATTGTCTGTGGAGATTCTCAATCATCCAGGTCATGGTTGTCCCAAAGGTGCTTTTTTCAAGAAGCAACTGGACTTCTTGCTTCTTTACTGAAACAATAAAGTCCAGTTTCCTGTATGTGCTTTTTTTAAAGAGGTAACTGGACTTTCTTATTTCAGTAAAGAAGTAGGAAGTCCAGTTGCTTCTTGAAAAAAGCACTTTTGAGACAACAACAAAAACTATGAAAAGTTTACTTTGAAATAATTTAATAAGTTAACAAACAAATTAACAACATTTGCTGAACACTTCTTCTGGTTTTGTAGCCACTTAATTATCTTTGTCTTGTTTGTCCAGAGCACGTTGTTCCAGAAGTCCTGGTCTTTGCCTAGGTGTTTATAAACAAACTTTAGTCTTGCCCTGATTTTTTTTTCTGGAGAACAAAAGCTTTCTCTTGGCACACTTCCCATGTAGATTTAATTTGTGCAACTTCTTTCTAATGGAAGTCTCATGCACTTTGACATTGATAGCAGCAAGCAAGATAGTAACAGATGAAATTCTAGGGTTATTAAAAACATCTTGTGTTCTGCTGTGGGACAGCCTGGCCTGGGCAAGTAGGCAATTGTGTGAAATATTTTCCATTTGTAGATGATCTTCTGGACAGTGGAATTATTGATGTCCATTGGGTTGGTGATCCTTTGAAATCCCTTCCCAGCCTCTAGGCTTCTATGAACTTTTTGAAGGCTTCAGGGTGCTCTTTTGATCTAGACATGGTAGTACTATATATTTCTGAATTAAACTGAATGCCTGAGGTTTAAGTAAAATTAATTCCTTCTAGGTTCTCTATACTGATCTAATTGTCTGCACCTCATCTGGTGCACCTGATTTTAATTTTAGGTATTTGAGATATTGGTAAACCTAGGCATGTACTGAGGTTTTCCCTTTGTGAACTTAACATCTTGATATATTTTTATATAGTTTATTGAAAATTGATATTTTTCAATTGTCAATCCCCCATCCCCCCCCCAATGTCTAAATCTGAAAACTAGTTTATCATCTTAATTTGTTTTCTTCCCATCTTTCTTTCTTGAATTCCATCACCCTGATTACACCATTGTTCACAGGAAGGCCCTTTGCAGTTGAGCTGGTTAACCCTCGGAAAGTCCAGTTGGCTGCAGTAGAAATGAAGGCACTTCAACAGGTACAGTGTTTGAAGGTTGACCTGTAACCATTGTCATGTAGATTGGGATGAAGGGAGTCAATCAGACATATCCTTGCAAAAGGCTGAATTTATCTCTAAAGCTAAATTGCCTGGGGGACTAATACAATCTTCTCCTCTTGGAGGGTATTGAACAGTGGCCAGATGAAAAATTGGCCCTAAATTCCATGGAGAAGGGAAGGCTATTGTAGTAATTTTATACATTGTAAGCTTATTGATGTACACATTTAAATTGCATATACTCTTTGCTGATTTCATAACTCATATGACAAGAATTATTTGATGAAACTCAGGAATATGCATGGTACTCCTTGTTCAGCTGATTAAGGGTATAGTGCTTTATTTTTAAAAGAAATTGTTTTTACTATCAGATTTTAATTGCAAAATAATCACATATAATTACCGTTTTTTATTTTTATTATCCACTTTTAGAGGATCAACAGTTCTTCAGACAAAGTCCAAGTTCGTGATTTACAACTTGTCAACAGGTTAGTTGATTTTGTTAGATAAAACAGGATTTTTTTAAAAAAAGAAATCTCAACGTGAGGTGGTTTTTTTAGCATAATTCCATGGAAAATGGAATCAACCTATTTTTCCTGGCACTGGCATAATCTGAAAAAATTACTGAAATCAGCAGAAGAGGCTCTTTTAAAGGAGCTGATTGATCTATGAAATAGGAGGGGGCCCTATCCTGAGGGGCTTCCAGGCAATGGAATGTGTTCCCTGGGGTAGTACATTTGATACCTACTCCTCAGTGGGGAATAGGAAAATAGCAGAAATACATTTCTTTCAAACTTTTAAGGATTAAACTGATTTCAGTTGTCCCGATTTTAGTTTTGATTTTACTATTTTAATTAGTTGAGTTTCGTTTTTTTCTTGTTAACTGCCTTCTATGCTTATATAAGAATGATTATAAATTTAGTAATAATGAGAAAAGAATAACAACACAACCAGTAACACAAGATCATAAAAGGTCTATAATGTATTTGATCACCAGCATGAGTTGGGAGATTTGCTTCTCTTTTTCAGATGATCAGCATATTTTATTGATTTCTTGATCAAGTAACATATTTCAAAGGTCTTTATATTCAGATTGCAGATTTTGGGGAATCCTCTGCTACTGCAGATTTTCTACTTTTGACATCAGGGATACGTTGCAGGATGGAGGAAGAGATATTTTTCCCATCAAATATCTGATGAGACATCTTTTGCCCATCACAAGTTTGTAGCTGTTCTAATTTGTTGTTTGTTTTTCTTTCAGAGAGGCCATTGTACATATGAAAGAAGGGGAAGAAGAGAAGACCAAGTCCTACAGTGCCTTAATATGGACAAAGAAAGTGATCCAAAAGGAAGACATTATGTTCCTAGACTCTATGAAGGTTGCATGTTTGGGGTGGTATTTATCATTTGTTTGCTCGTTTTTAAATCCTGTACAAAAATTTTACAAGCCCCTTTATAAGAGTATTTAGCTTTCATCAAACACAAGATGAAAATCACTGTACCTTTTTTAGTGGAAAATCACAGAATTCATGCAATGGCTTTGAGCGTAATATTTTTCAGAAGTTTGACACTGACAACATAGAAGTTACTTTCTGTAAGAAGTTTCTATGCAAATGGATAATGTACACATTATGTTGGGTTATTTAATGAGCAAGTTGAGAGGTGTTATAATCAAATGTTTAGCAGAATTAGGAAGAAAATGTCTTGCTCTGTGTACATTGGGTGGGGTATTAAACAAGGTCCAAGCCATCACTCAGCCATAAAAGGCATTGGATATATTTGTTTGTTCCATCCTTTGGACCAGCCATTTTCTGTAGAAATACATCTGAAATAAATAAGAACAATATATATCCATCTTTCTATAAGTAACTGTCAGACATAGAACCATAATTCAGGAAAGTTTGTTAATTCTTGGCAACAGATAAGAAAGAAAAGACCAGCAGGGAATAATGAGAATTGAAATCAACACATTTTGAGCACATCAGATTGGGGAATGTTGATACCTATTTAAAAAGAAGATTAATCGGAACAATGTTTGATGAATGTATTTATTTGCTTTTAGTGATTTTGTATTTGAGCTACTATGTATCTCTTAAAAATATTCGGGTACCATATTATTTTTCCTCAGCCTTCATGGCAACAGCATTGGCAGTTAGCATTAATGCACAATAAATAATTCTTAAAATGTAAGGATTGAAAGGGAAATTGGGGAACATCTGATCCAACAGTTTGCTCAGTATAAGAATCTACCACAACAATATTTTGAAATCTTGGCAGCTTTAAGATGTATAGATTTCAACTCCCAGAATTCCTTAGCCAGTTTACTGTTCTGGGAATTGAAGTCCACACATCTTAAGGTTGTAATGTGGAAAAACACTGTACAACTGTATGACCAAGAGGTTTCTATTCAAAAATTTCCTGCAAAGAGTCCATCACCTCTTGTGGCAATTTGTTTCCATTGTTGAACAGCTCTCATTGCTAGATTTTTTTTCGTGATGCCCAACTGAAATCTGATTTGTAATTCTTTCTGTACTATCTTCTGGAATGTCTGTGAACAATTTTACCCCATCTCTTATATAGCCCTTTTGATTACCAGGGACAGTTATGTTTTCCCACAGTCCTCTCTTCTCCAAGTTATATACACTCAATGCCTCCAATCATTTTTTGCAAGTTTTTCCTCCCAGGCCCTCCTTTGGACATAATTCTAGTATCTGTTAAAATGTGATGCCCAGATGTAATATTCTAGGTTTGGTCTCTGTACAGAATATTACCGTATTTCTGATATCCTCTAGAATTTTATTTGCTTTTTTTTTTTCAGCTAAATCACACTGTTGCCTTGTGTTCAGCTTCTGATTCACCGGGATATCCAGAATGTTTTCTCATGCACTGTTTCCTAGTATATTTTCTCCATGGCCTGTACCCATCCTTTCATTTTCCTCAACCTAATGGAGAATTTTGCATTTCTCCCTGTTGAAAAACATACTGCCCATTTTCCAGCTTATCAATATTTTCTTGAATCTTCATATTATCCTCCAAAGGGTTTGTCATGTTCTCATCCTCATTATTGGTTTGTCAAGGTTACTTTGTTATCACTGTGGTAACCTGGAGCTTGGGGGAATAGAATAAGGGGGGGGAATAGAATAAGAATAGAGTAGAATAAGATTTAGAAGTATTAGAATTATTAGAATCAGAATAGAGCTGGAAGGGACCTTAGAGGTCTAGTCCAGCCCCGCCCCCTACTGAAGCATGAGACCTTATACTATACCGGGGAAGATGTCTGACTGGACATTTGAATTTTCTACCTCATGGGTTTGTGATGAATGTAATGTTATTTTTTATCTGAAATTCTTGTCCAGGAATTAAAGCTTGATCAAAAAACTCCATTACGTGTACTTCATCGGCGGCCTTTAGCTGTCAGGATTCGTGTCATCCACAGCATGCAATCAGAGTACATAGACGAGCATCATTTCCGTCTTCACTTGAAGACACAAGCAGGGACGTATCCTTTCTGAACTGAAGTGCCTCAGTGGTCAGGAATTCTGTACTAAGCTCTTCAATAAAAGGATAGTATTAAATATGGAAGAATGAACATAAACCTTCAAGTATTGTTTTCCTTGGAGCAGGAAAATGTGTGGAGTACGCATGACTCATGTTACATTCAATCTTTTTTCTCTATCCCCTTCCCTTCCCCCAGAAGGTGGCATGCTCTCTTCTAACCCCATCTGAATTTTGCTATATCCTGTCATTTAAAAGCTCTAGAAGTGTGCTGGAGAGAGAGTGAGAAAGAAAGGAAGGGAGAAGTACATGTTCTGAATGAGAAGTGCATTATCTTATTTTTAAAATCTATTCTAATAAGCTCAATATTTCTCATTTCCTTATCGGCAATCTGTTAGTTATGTTAAAGAATTTGTACATGGAGATTTTGGAAGAACCCAGCCCAATATTAGTTTCTTGTTGAAGACAACTGCAGACATCTTGGAGCTGGATGTAGAAGTGAGTACTCTCTTTTATATGTCTCTGTAGACAGAAGGATGGGACTGCCACCATTGGTCTTTCAGGCAGGAAATTAAGGGACAAATCACAGGGGATTTGTTTCAGATCTGGCAACCTGAGTTTAATCTAATATCTGCAATCTCTGTCATTTCCTACAGCATCTCATCTCTCTTGAAAACTTTTTTGTTAGACAGAGAATGCAAATTTAGTTTTGTGTGTTGAGAACTGTAGAAACGCATTGGGATTAAAATTTTAGTTTAACTCCAGACTAGAGCAAAACAATCAAATCATATCCCAAGTTGGTTTTCAAATGGCTTTTCATCCAGGCTAATCAGATGTTCACTTAAGGTATATTGTCACCTCAGCATTCCCCAGTCTGGGAACATATAGATGTATTAACTACACTTGCTGTAGTTCTTGGCCTGCACTTTTGTGTTGGACACTGGCGGATGATGGAAATCATTGTCTCACACTTGGGGAACCAAGTTTCATCATTTGTATTGAAGCCATTATCTAAGATTAAATATTTTGCAAACAAATGAGTTAGCTATGATTGAATTAATTTTCTTTCTTTCTTTCTGCAGTCCGTGGATGTTGACTGGCCACCAGCTCTAGATGATTAAGAAACAATTTTAATTTTCAAGAGGGAGGGAAAGACTTATCCATGGCAAGATTTAGAGCACTGTGGGAAATATTTTATAGGCTAGCTGGATGACTTTCCTGGATTTTTATAAACCAGTTTAGATCATGTTGATCTGCTCAAGATTGATTTGTTTTTAATTCAGGGGTTCCCAACTGCTGGGCCAGGGCCTAATGCCGGGCCGTGGTCTATTCGGAATTGGGCCCTGTGAGTGGCTGGCTGGAGCACATGAAGGGCGGGCTGGTGGGCACTTGCACAGGTGGACCCTGGCCCATTGCTCACACTGGCCCTGCTGCTTGTTCAAGGTTTACCTTCCCCCCCCCCCAGCTGGGCCACCAAGTCGCAAAGGGAACCACTGTTTTAATTTTTAAAAATGTCTCAAATTGATTTACACACTTTAGACATAATGCATTTCATTTTAACCTCATTACCAATACACTATAAATTGGTACCTATACAGTACGGATACAGATTCTCAAACAGAGAATAATTTTGAATTTCTGTGCAAAGGGGAAGAGTAAAAAAAACAAAAACTTTAATGTTGCATGACAACTCTCAACAAGACATTTAAAAGCTTTTTAATAGGAAAAAAAGAGCCCATTTTGTGTAACAGTACTTGTTCAGTTCAGTTCAATTCCACATGTCCTTGTGCTTGCATGTCTTAAAGCAGCCCTCTCTTGCTAAGGGCTTTCCAGATGTGTGGGACAATTTGACTAGAATCTCCAGTCAGCACCATTATTGTTGCTGGGAATTTGGGAGTTCTACTCCCACTCGTCTGAAGAGAGGCCAGTTGGGCAAGGCTAACGTACATACACTATTGGAATCATTTTGATAAATTCAGCTACTTTTATCAGTTTTTCTTCTTATACTGCCAATAGAGCAGCACATAGAAGAAAGCAGCTCATTGAATATAGCAAAATTTAGGAATACTATTTATGCATAATAGAATTACAGATCCAAACCAGAAAAAAGCAATGAGATACCTATTAGAGCACCCTCATAATTCTTGTGGTTGAGCACTGTTGACTACTGAAATGTGCAAAGTTGCTGAGCTATCAGCATGCATTCCCAGTAAAAACATGTTGCTGATTTAGTCCTGTATAGGTTTAGTCAAGATGTATGGCTGGCGTTCCTGGGAAGGTGTCCCTGTGCATCATTAGAGGAAATAGTAAGCCTGATTGCATTCAGAGCAACTTATATCTGAGTAAATGGGATTCATTGTTTTCCCAATGATACATAGGATTGCTCACATGCATTCACACGCCAATATGGACACAGGCTTTAAAAAATACATCCCCCTGAAGGAAGATGTGTTTACCCTGTTCAGTATTATGCTAAAAGGCAGAACCAGTTCCATAAGACATTTTTTTGAGATTTTCAAGGAGCAATGCAAACATTGTTAAGTTTACAGCTGCCCCCAACCCCCAGATCATGTAAAGTATAAAGGAAGTTCTGATATGAAGTAAAGATTTTGAACCAAAAATGTCCAGAACTTTTATAAGAAAATAAATTGTTTTTCTTTCAAAACTTTGTTTGCTGTTGTGTGTCTGAGATGTATGCACATATTCATTAGTTGAAAATAAGCCATATAAATCAAGGCTTGAAAATTCATGAAATTAAAAAGAAACTTAAAAATGGCCTGTAAAGCAAAATCTTAGTTCATGGATTTTATCTGTACTCTATATCATTAGTCCTTAATTTACAAACGTAATAGAGCTTGTACATATCACCTCTTAATGCAACTCCTTTAAGCTACATTTTTGTAAACTACATTGCTGCGCTCCAGTGCAGGATTGCAATCTTGGAAAAAATACAAATTTTGTTTAAAAAGTTGCTGATTGAAGCACTACAGGTAGTCCTCAACTTACAACAGTCCATTTAGTGACCATTCAAAGTTACAACGGCCCTGAAAAAAAGTGACTTATGACCGCTCTTCACGCTTATAATCATTGCATCATCCTCATGGTCGTGTGATCAAAACTAGGCCTCTTGGCAACAGACTCGTATCTATGACCGTTTCAGTGTCCTAGGGTCATGTGGTCCCCTTTTGCCACCTTCTGACAATCAAGTCAATGAGGAAGTCCGATTCACTTAACAACCGTGTTACTGACTTAACGACCACAGTGATTAACAACTTAACAACTTGTTTCCCTTAGCAACATAAATTTTGGGCTCAATTGGCATCGTAAGTCGAGGATTACCTGTATTTTATTTTCAAACATGAAGCAATACATTGCCCTACTTAATACGGGTAGTCCTTGACTTACAGCAGTTCATTTAGTGGCCGTTCAAAGTTACAAAGTGGTCATGTGATGTACATTCAGGTGCTTGACAACCAACTCACATTTATAATGGTTGCAGTGTCCTGGAGTCATGCAATCACCTTTTACTGACTTAACAACCACAGTAATTCACTTAACAGATATGGAAAGAAAAGTCATAAAATGGGGCAAAACTCAGCAAATTTCTCATTAGCAACATAAATTTTGGGCTCAATTGTCATAAGTTGAGGACTACTTGTACACCTTATGGCAATCTTGAATCATGATTCAGTTTTATGAATTCAGTTTTATTTATGAATGTATGAATACAGATAACAGATAATCAGAGTTGGAAGGGGTGGTAGTTGCTGGTCCTCTGAACTACTCCAAATTTCCACTACCGGTTCAGAACTGGTCAGAACCTACTGAATGCCACCTCTGGTCTGCATTTGTTCCAATGATGCAACAACAGTAGGCATTCTAATATGGAGTAGACAAATAATAAAAAATTTTTAAACAAAACTTCTGGATTCAGAACCTCTCAAATAAACCTCTCAAACAAACCAAAGCTAAAGTACTCCACCCTACAAATCATGCCCTGATTTTGCTACCTCTCAGAGTCACTGATACAAGAGGAAAGAAAATCATATGATGAAAATGTTTTAGATTACAGATTATAGATAATCAGAATTGGAAGGGACCTTATAGGTCATCTAGTCCAGTGGCCCCCAACCTTTTTTGTGCCACGGCCCGGTACCGGCATCACAAAATGATCTGCGGCCCAGTACCGGCATCAGCATGCATGACAAGGCAAGGCGAGCCGAGCGACCGGCCAGCCAGCCATCCCCCGCTTCTCCCCGCCACCTTCAACTCCTCCTTTGTACCTTTGTCGATGGGCTTCGCTTCGGGACGGCTTCGGGACAGTCGGCTCGCCTTGCCTTGGGTGCTGAAAGAATCCTCGCACCTTAGTTTCGTTCGAAGCCCCCCCTCACTTCGATGAAACTAAGGTGCGAGGATTCCTTCAGCACCCAAACGCCGCTTTCCAACCGGAAAAGCTCACCCGGAAGCACTTTCTCGTCAAACAAGATGGCGGTGCCCAGCAAATCGGCGGCCCGGTAGGAAATTTTTCACGGACCGCAACCGGTCCGCGGCCCGGTGGTTGGGGACCCCTGATCTAATCCACCACCACCCGCCCAAGCGGGAGACCCTACACCATTTCTGACAAATGGCAGTCCAATCTCTTCTTGAAAGTCTCAAGTGATGGCACTCCCACAAGCTGTTCCATTGGTTGATTGTTCTCACTGTCAGAAAGTTTCTCGTTATTTCCAGGTTAAATCTCTCCTTGTTCAGTTTCCATCCATTATTCCTTGTCTGGCCTACAGGAGCTTTAGAAAATAGCTTGACCCTTTCCTCCCTGTGGCAGCCCCTCAAATATTGGAAGACCTCTATCATGTCTCCCCTGGTCCTTCTCTTTACTAGACTAGCCAAGCCCAGTTCCTGCAACCGTTCGTTGTATGTTTTAGCCTCCAGTCCCCTAATCATCCTGGTTGCTCTTCTCTACTTTTTCTAGAGTCTCAACATCTTTTTTATAATGTGGTGAACAAAACTGGATGCAGTACTCTAGGTGTGGTCTTACGAAGGCTTTATAGAGTAGTATTAGTACTTCCCTTGATCTTGATTGTATTCCTCTGTTAATACAATTTAGGATTGCATTAGCTTTTTCGGCTGCTGCTGCACACTTCTGGCTCATATTTAGCTGATTGTCCACTAGGACTCCAAGATCCCTCTCACAGTTACTGCTATTGAGCCTGGTTTCACCCAGTCTATATGTGTACTTTTGGTTTTTCTTGCCTAAGTATAGGACTTTACTTTTCTCTACATTGAATTTCATTTTGTTAGATACAGCCCAGAGTTCTAGTCTGTCAAGAACCATCTGGATCTTGATCCTATCTTCCTGGGTGTTAGCTATTCCTGCCAGCTTAGTATCATCTGCAAATTTGGTAAGTTCCCCTTCTATTCCCTCATCTAAGTCGTTAATGAAGATATTGAAGAGTACTGGGCCTAAGATGGAACCTTGTGGCACCCCACTGCTTACTTCCCTCCATGTAGACTTAGACCCATTAAGGACTACTCGTTGAGTGCGGTTTGCCAGCCAGTTGCGAGTCCATCTAGTGGTGGTACTATCTATTCCACTTTTTTCTAGCTTACTAAGAAGTAGGTTGTGGTCTACTTTGTCAAATGTTTTGCTGAAATCTAAATATATTATGTCCACAGTATTTTGCTGGTCTACTAATTTAGTCACTGTGTTAAAGAATGAAATAAGATTGGTTTGGCATGATCTGTTCTTAATAAACCCATGCTGACTGCTAGTTATTACTTTACTTGTTTCTAGATGTTGGCAGATCTGTTTTTTTAAATTATCTTTTCCAGTATCTTCCTGGGTATTGATGTTAGGCTGATTGGTCTATAGTTTCCTGGGTCTGTTTTTTTTCCTTTTTTGAAGATGGGAAACACATCAGCTCTTTTCCAGTCCTCTGGTAGTTCCCCGGTGCTCCAGGATTTTTGAAAGATATGGTACAGTAGTTCTGAGATGACCTCTGCCTGCTCCTTTAAAACTCTGGGGTGTAATCCATCAGGCCCTGGTGATTTGTGTTCATCAACATCAGACAGGTGTTGTCTTACTAATTTTTTTTTTGCTTATTTTAACTTTTATTTCTGGTCTGTCTTTTACAGTTATGTTTTTGGTGGGTTGAGCTATAGTTTCTTTTTGCGTGAAGACGGATGCAAAGAATGAATTAAGCAATTCTGCTTTCTCTCTGTTGCCTGTTACTTCCTTGCCGTCTTCTCTCTTTAGTGGACCGACTGTTTCCTCGATTTTTTTTCTTGTTATTTATATGTTGGAAGAAACTTTTTTTAAATTACCTTTGACTTTTGTTGCAAGCCTTTGTTTGTTCTGAGCCTTTGCTATCCTGACTTCATCTTTGCAGATTCTGCCTATCTGCTGATATTCTGCCTTAGTTGTATGTCCTTCTTTCCATTTTTTGTACATGTCCTTTTTTTCTTTCAATTTGCCAGAGAGATCTTTGTGCAGCCATGCTGGTTTCTTCTTGGATTTCTTGTTTTTCTTTCTCAGTGGTATTGTGCTGATCTGGGCTTCTATGGTCATACTTTTTAGAGTTTCCCAAGATTCTTGAGTTGTTTTCCCCTTTAGAATTTTCATCCATGTAAATTTTCCCAAGTTCTCTCTGAGTTTATTAAAATCAGCTCTTTTAAAACCCCAGACTCTGGTGTCATTATGTTCTGTTGCTTGTGTTTGTGTTATGT